AGGTAAACTCGGGAACATAAAGTGGCAAGAGTAGAAGCAGGGAGACCTTTAGAATGGTATTATTAGTATCTAAGTAAGAGATGATGATCACTTAGACACATGTGGCAAAGTGACAAAGGGGAGAAGTAGATTCAGGATATGTTTTGTGGGTAAATATCTGGAGGTAGAGGTAATGGCTGGGGTGCTGAGGAGAGGTAAAAAGAGGAATCAAGAATGATTTCTAAGTTTACGGTTTGAATAACTGGGTGGATGATTGCTCAATTACATCCCTTCGTTTGCTGAGATGTTTAAAACTAGGAGAGGAGAGGAACCAGTTTGGGGGGTTGGGTGAGCTTACTGGAAATTTATGTAGAGAACAGGCCTAGACCCTGAACTGCCCAGGAGAAGTCATGATAGCTGTAATTACGTTGAATGTGCTCATATGTGTCTTGTATGTTGATAAACAAGATAGATGACTCTCACACTGAGAAGGTAAACAAAGATGACTTCAAGGATGGGAGAAAGGCCTCCAGGGTTGGGAGAAGAAGAGGAGGAGGACAAGGAGGGGAGGGGCAGGAGCTGAGGGGCAAGGAGGATGTGTCAAAGGTAGAAGAGGTGATATGGTATGTGTGTATATGTAGAAAGACTTTCGTACTTTCCAATTCTGCATTAGGAATACTGCGAAAGCCCACTGGCGTATTGCATAATCAAGCTACTCTTCAGGAACAAAGGATATATTTTGAATGTGAAGGGACACTAAATTTGTTCCATTAATTTACTGGGTCCTGAGAAACATTATAGGTATTCTAATCAATGATATAAATAGATGTTAGGCAAGACACTTAGAATACATATTTACGGCATTGGTGGGAAGATTAAATAAGATTATCATTTATTTTACTGTTTGACATATAATTAATCTATTAATAAGTGATAATTATTATTAAATGTCAAAAATAAAAGTTCAGAATTAGCATAAATTAATGGTGATGACAGCAATATGTTAGGATGTGCATTTAATTATTCTGAGGTTCTGTTCTCTCAGTTCCTTCTTTACAATATTGGTACTTTCTACACAAACACAAATATAATTTTAGTTTTTATATATATACACGCATATATATATATACTTTATTTCTTGAAATTTACCTTTGTCTTGCAAGCTTGCAGCAGTGAAAAATGCCAGATTCAAGGGTGCTTGGGTGGCTCAGTTGGTTAAGCGTCCGTCTTCAACTGGGTGGGATTAAGCCCCTCATGGGGCTCCTTGCTCAGCAGGGAGTCTGCTTCTCTCTGTGCCCCTCCGCCTGCTCATGCTCAAGTGTGCTCTCTCTCTCTCAAATAAGATCTTTTTTTAAAAAAAGAAAAACACCAAATTCCTTAAAGACTTGCATCTTGTGGTGTTATTTATAAGAAATGGAATTATTTTAAGATCTTTTTTTTTTTTTTAAGTAATCTCTACACCCAACGTAGGGCTGAACTCACAACCCCAAGAACAAGAGTCGTATGCTCCACTGACTAAGCCAGCCAGGCACTCTGAAGTGGAATTATTTTAATTAGTGATACTTAAAATTACCATTACCCAACCATTTATTTTATGAACTGTCATACATAATACTTTTCAATACTCTTAAATCAACGACGAGACAAAAACAAAAAAATATATAAAACTAAAAAAAACCTAAGGACACCAAACAAGGATTGCCTTCATTTGAATTACTACTTACCTGCTGATGATAAGTATTTCAATTTAAAAACTGTCTTTGACAACAAAATAAGAACTAAACACTATTCCCCACAATACACCAAGAAAAGACACCTTTATAACTGAGAAAACATTTTCTTTCTCAGTAGAAGTTTGGCTGCACTTTTCCCCCAAAGTAAAGAGTACTCTTCACAAGGTGCATATGCTTAAGTGTACACATCTACTTGTTAAAGGGACAGGCATTTATTTTTAAAAGTTTTACTTTGAGTTCATTAATGACAATGAAGATAATTATACTTAATTCATATTTATTTCTCACTTTTTTCCCCATTATTTTCGTCTGCCATATAAATGTCTGCTTTGCCTATTTTTGTGGCTTTTTAAAAAAAGTTTCTTTAATAATTTTTCTGGAGAAATACATCACCTCTTGTCATCATCAAAAACAATTGAGAAATGTTTGATGTCTTATAACTTCAATTATTCTCTCTTAATAACATAAAACACTTTCTTCATAAATAATAATAACCTTTGTTAGTCTAATTAGGAAGAAATAAAGGGGATAAAAATATACAGGATTAGGAATGAGAAAGGAGACATACCAGAGATAGAGTGATTGAAAGAATTCTAAGAGAATACCACATACAGCTTTATGTCAACCAATTTGAAAACTAGGATAAATAGATGATTTCCTATATAAACAAAACTGACGCATGAACGATGGCAAACAAAATAGAACAATTACTATAGATGGAATTGGAAGTGTTAAACTCTAACATTGTAAAATGCACCAAACCTACCTGACTTCTTTCTTTCTCTCTGCTTTCTTTCTTTCTTTCTCCCTTTCTTTTCCCTTTCTTTCCCTTTCTTTCTTTCTTTTCTTTCTTTCTTTCTTTCTTTCTTTCTTTCTTTCTTTCTTTCTTTCTTTCTTTCTTTCTTTCTTTCTTTCTTTCTTTCTTTCTTTCTTTCTTTCCTTTCTTCCTTCCTTCCTTCCTCCCTTCCTTCCTTCCTTTCTTTCTTTCAACTCTATACCCAACACGGGGCTCCATCTCATGAACCCAAGATCAAGAGTCACATGTTCCACTGACTGAGCCAGCAAGGTGCCCCATGATTTTTATTTGTTCCTTAAAGAGCATAAAATTTCAATGTGATTTAAATTACTCCAGGCTTTATTAATGAAAAGACAGAAAAGCCACTAATTCATTTTATGAAGTCAGCCAACTTTAACATTAAAACTTAATAAAGACAATACAAAAAGCATATTATAGACCAGTCTCATTTATGAGTATAGATACACATTTCCTAGCTTATGAATATAGATACATGATTCCAAACAATTACACTTAATACAGTAATGTAATCAGGTTTGGGTTTTTCTTTTCTTTCAGATGGTTCAATAATAGGAACTCTATCAATATAAACAAATTTAAGGAGAAAAACTAGATCATCATGTCAATAGGTGCTGAAAAGATGTCTTATAAAATCCAGTAGCCATTCCTAATTTTAAAAACGTACATAAAATAGAAGAAAGCTCAATAGACTACTTACCAAAGCTAACAGGAAATATTCTAAGTAGCAAAACACCAAAACCACTTCATTAAAATCAATAACCAGACAGGGATCCTAGATCAGTATTATTATTTAACAATGGCTTGAATAGTCTAGTACATTCAGTAAGACAGGAAAAATGATATAAATTTTAGGGGAAAAGCAGATAAAATTCAAAAGCTACGGGTAAAAAAAAACACTAGAATTTATAAGAGAACTTGGTAAAATCACTGAAGACAAGGTAAATATATAGGAATTAATGGCTTTTTTGTATTCTTTAATAAGCATTTAGAAAACGGAATGAGGTGAAATACTCCATTCACAATAGGAGAAAAACATCTAAATCACCTAAAGATAAATTTGACAAGAAAAGCATAGAATTTAAATGAGAAAAATAACATGTTATTTCAGAGTACAAAACAAGCTCTGGACAAAAGGAAATGTATTCATGTTCTTGAATGAGAATATTAATATTAAAAAGTCAATTGTCCCAAAACAATGTATAAATTTAGTAAAATGCCAATTAATACTCTAATAGAGTATGGGTGGAGGTTGGAATTGGACAAAATACCTTTAAAAGTTACATAGAAAAATAAATGACTGATTATAGCAAAATAAACAGTGATGGGAGACTTAGCAGTTATTAGAACACACTGGAAAGTCACTGTTACCAAATTATTACAGAACTATAAAAGGTTAGACAAACATATCAGTGAAATGGAATAGGAATCCTCAAAGAGATCTCTGCATATATATGAAAAGTAATATGTGGTAAAGGTTGAAATCATTGTGGAAAAGATGAATTTTTATTTAATAAATGGGACTAACACAAGAAGCTATGTATTTGAAAGAAAATAAATTCAATGTAAGCTCTACGCCCAACGTGGGGCTGAACTCATGACTCCAAGACCAAGAGTTCCATGCTCCACTGATTGAGACAGGCAGGCACCCTCTAAAGAAAATAAATTTAGATCTCTATCTTGTGCCAGATATAAAAAGAAATGACAAATGGATAAAATACTCAAAAACCAAACAAACAAAATCCTTAGGAGAGAGGGGCACCTGGGTGGCTCAGATGTTAAGGCATCTGACTCTTGATTTTGGCTCACGTCATGATCTCAGAGTCATGAAATTGAGACCCGCACGGAGCCTGCTTAAGATTCTCTTTCCCTCTGCCCCTCCTCCCACCTCCCTCTCTAATCAATCAATCAATCAATCCATCCTTGAAGGAAAATATGTATTTTATCAACAGGTAGGAGACACTGGAAAGCCCGAAGGTATAAAAGAAAAAAAATAGACATATATGACTCTATAAACATTTTCAACTTTTATATGAATAAATGTGGAGGAGATACTATAATTTAAACTAACAGATAGTAGATTCAGAGAAAATATTTATAATAAAGAGGATACATATTCAATAACCATAATATATAACAAGCTCTTACAAACTCAGGCAAAAGAGAATAAGATATCCAGTAGAAAAGTGGTAAAACACATGAAGACAATTCACAGAAGAGAAAAATCTAATGACCAATAAACACATAAAAATATAGTAAACTCACTAGTGGTCAGGGAAATGTACTTAAAGTAACAAGAAGATGTCACTTTAAATCTATTTGCCAAGAATAATGCCTGTTGTTGGCAAGAATGTGCAGAGAAGGAAAGTCTCACATATTTGTTGGTGGAAATAGGAAGCGTTAGTTAGAGCTTTTTTTTATAAACAATGGGCAATATCTATTTAAATTACAGTTGTTTGTACCTTTTTCAAGTAATGCCACATCTGCTTTATATCCCATAGGAGTAAAAGCATCGAGGGGTTACACATAAAAGGATGTTTTCTTCAGCTTGTTCATTGTAAAAAAAAATAATAAAGTAGAGCTCTATTAGTTGACTTTGAGAGATTGCTAGGTATTTTTTGTACTATTAAGGGAGAAAACAAGATGCCTAATGTGGTCAGTTTGCCACCAAGTAACCAATTGGTCTCCTCAATAAATAATGCCACATCTGGGGCTCACTGCTGATCTCTTAGATGACAGGTTGGCAGCAGTGGTTAGAACAGCCCTGGCAAGTGGGAGGCCAGGCTGCTGGGCCTGTGCGTAACCTCAGCCTCTGCCACATGTGCCCATTGCGTCAGCCCTAGGATGTCCTATGATGTAGACTGGCTGACATCAAATGGCCTAAGCATTTGGTCTCTTTGGCTGTTGAATGCCTTATCCATGGCGAGTGCTGCCTAGAGGACGTGAACATTTGATATGGAGATCTGCACACTTTGTGCCAACTCTCCTGTGTCTATTCATAAGACCCGTCCCTAGATTTCCTTGTATCCAATCTGTCAGGCTTTCCCTGGTCACTGACCACTGAACAGGAATAGGCATATGTTCTCATTTTGGCCCTCTTCCCCTTCCCCACAAAGTGGGTAATCAATTGTACCACTCATAGCTCTGCCTACTGGGAAGATTTTCCCTTCCAACAATTGTTTAAGGCCATCCCTAAATGTGGACATAATGCAACCATATACATATTCAGTTTTTACTCATGTACCTAGCTGACACATTTATGAGCCAAATTTGGGCTTCTCCTTCCTCCTTTAGCTGGTTTTACAGAACCTTCTTCCACAGCACAGCCATAGGTATGGAGCAAGGTGAGGGGTACCTGTGTCATTGTGGTGGGTGACATGAGGGTCTAGGCTACCTGCTTCTGTCTTTTGGTCCTGTTCAAGCTTGATATCAAATATACCATTTCAATCTTTTGACGGACTGCTACTGGCTCCATCTGACTTTATAACTTGGCAGGACTGACAAAGCCCTTAATGCGCTATTTCTGGACTCACAGCCCCTTGGTTCTCCATGGTCAAATATTCTGTCTCCATCAGAGCCCAGTAATGTATGAAGAAATGTTTCTCAAAGATGTATGATTCTCTCCTTCAGATAGCATGGCCTCACTGCAGAATGGTCTGCACTGTGATTCTTCCACTGGAGTTTGCTGTCAACTCCATACTGAACAGATTTAAATTAAACATGACCCTTTTGCAGATTTACCTCAAAACTCAGGTATGAGTGAGAACTGCAAGAATGGAGAATAATCTAAATAATAGATAATATACTATTACCAGAATCACTCTATTCAACACTGGCTCATGGTCCTTAACCCACCTACAAGGCATTCCAAGCCCTCCTGTAAATGGCCAAATACACTTGAATCTGGAACACTGCTGAGACTCCCGCTGGGCCCCTGCTATAAGAGAACGCAGCAATATCTGACAAGAACAGTATAAAACTAAGCAGCCAGGGGGCGCCCAGGTGGCTTACTCGTTAAGCATCTGCCTTCGGCTCAGGTCATGGTCTCAGGGTCCTGGAATCGAGCCCCACATCGGGCTCCCTGCTCGGCAGGAAGCCTGCTTCTCCCTCCCCCACTCCCCCTACTTGTGTTCCCCCTCTCTCACTGTGTCTCTCTGTCAAATAAATAAACTAAATCTTAAAAAAAAAAAAAAAACACCTAATCTAAGCAGCCAGGATTCCCAGAGGCTATTAGACCATATGAATAAAATGAAAATATATTAACTGAAAACTCAAAATCACAACAGCTTAAGTCTACCAGCTGATAGTTTGAACCTCAGTAGCCCATGTAAAGCAGCCTGTAATTATTTCTGGGAGTCTCCAGAAGGAATGCTTCCCAGGACCAGGCAGCCACATTGCCCAATTCCAGGGTGCATGATTGATATTGTGTCCTGGGTGAACGTCACACCCTGGAGCACAACTGAGATTTATACCAAATAAAATGTGAATGGTGTCCCTGGAATAATGTAACATTGACCCTGCACCTTCCGGGTGTTCACAAGCCAATTCCCACTCAAGGTCTACTATGTTCTTACTCTTCTGTTTCAGTTGCCCCTGGCCATTGTCCACTGTCCTTGACATTGTCTGAAGGAGAACCACTGATCCTACTATTGAGGGTGCCCTTTGCAGGTTCTCCACTACTCGTGCCAAAGATGCAGCCCTCTGGTAATCCCAGAGTCACTGTCTGCACCCAAACAGGCTGGGTTCTGTGTAGATATGGGGAGAAAGGCCTGCTTTCCCTATCCATGGCACTTTGCTTTCCAGGTGCTCAAGCCCAAGACCATACAAAGACTCTCACCAAAGTGTCCCATCAGCTTCTTCTCTCCATTCATTCTTCATCTCTGGCAAGCAGCTCTCAACATTATCCCCCACCAACTAAATCTTTATTTGCCACAGAAATAAGCAACTGGTGGGTATAATTCGTCTCAATGCAAAATGCACCAACATCTCCGCATATCTTCTCCAACTGACATCCAAAAGGACAAAGAAGCATATATCTAAATCAGAATACTTAACATCTGTGGTTATTTTAATTGTGACTTTATATACATATGTACGTATGTAATGTATTGAGATGAAAAAAATGGGGTACTTACTTTATATCTAGACCCATTCTAGAAATAAAACTTCGTAACTTTTAATTTTTATTTCCCATGGAGAATAATTAAATAAATCATACCCAAAGATGTGTGATTAACTATATGCTGTAAACTTGCCAGTGAAATAAATCTTCAGGGAAAGAGAAAGGAAAACTGGTTTTACACCTCCCATTACTTCAAGTTTTCAACATCCAGCAAGGTCAAATTACAAGGACAAGTGTCTTGAGGAAATTATAATGGCCTTGAAGTAATTGGTCCAGTTCCACATTATTAAGAAACCTTTAATATTGTTTATTGCTCACAAACACCTTGTAACAGGCATGTCAATTCAATGAAGGGAGTAGATACCCTCAGACCCAGGAAAAATAAACTAGTTATGAAGACGGGTGATCCTCACCTTGGATGCTTCAATACTAAGCCATCAGTGCTTGAAGCAGAAGGGTTTTAAATTTCTTTATTGTGTCAGTTTTGCCTTTAGCTTATTCATTTTTAGCTAGAGATATCTCTAAGCACATTTCCATATAAGGTTGGGAGTTTCAGTCTGGATCTATATATTGAAAAACTTCTGAAGGTGGAGTAATATTATGAAGCTGCTGTCTGCATTATCAATCTTCTATAATTCAGTTGCAGTAATATTCAGCATCTGGTTGAGTCGAGCCTGGCTGTCTGCCACCACTATGGCCCTGCCCCCACCCACAATCTCCGGCTTACAACCTTTAAATGGCAGTTTTAGCCACATCTTCCCTTCAGCGTTTCAAAAATCTTTGGGCCTACTCTCACCCAGAACAACCCACTGCACTTATAATATGCTTGTAATGTATTAAATAATGTGAAAGATAAACATGATAAAGTGTTCAATCTTCTTATTAAAAAACAGAGTTTTTGGCCCCTTAATTTCCTAACATCTAACTTTCTTTCATCGTTTTAACAACTAATAACACTTCCTAGAGAGTGAATTATTGTCTTGTACGAAATCAGGGAAGACAAGTTTATATTCATGCAAGAAAAGGTCTTATATGAAAAGCACTGCCTAGAGAACCATGCTAATTTTAAATAGTGTGAGAGATGTTAATATATAGATTGAAGGATCTGCATAATTAGGATATTTACCTCTCAAAGCTATTACTTTAATATATACAATACATAAAATGCAATCAACATATACACTAGCAATCTAAATCAAATATATTTATAAAATTGTTAAATTAACATTTGGTTAAGCCCAATATCAGGTCATTATAATAACAGAGCAAGAAATAATCCTGGCAGATGTCAAAACCAGAAACCAAGATCCAGGAGGAAAAAACTAAAAAAGTAACCAAGTAATAAATAAAAGAATTTTAAAAGAGAAGAATCCAGATTTTCCTTCTGAGGAGGACACTCAATATGGAAAAGATATGAAGGTGAGAAGACATACATTTTCCAACCTGTTGTTGAAAAACTTCAAAAGTAACTGGAATGAAATATTAAAAAATATTACGGGGATTAACTCAAAGATTTTTGTTACATTAGTAACAGAGAGCAAGGAATTAGCATTTATCTTTTTCTTTAATTTTTAAAAAAGTTTATTGAGATAAACTTAATATGCAAAAAGTTGCAAATATTTAATATGTACATTTTGATGAGTTTGGACATAGGCATACACCTGGGATATGATCACTGAAAACAAGATAATAAACATATCCATCATCTCCTAAAGATTTCTTGTTGTTCTCTTGCTTTTTGGGGGGAATTAGTATTTATCTTTTTTTAACTTTTTTTTTTTTTTTTTTTTTAGAGAGAGAGAGAGAGAGACTCTTAAGCAGGCTCCATGCTCAGCACCTGAGTCCAACACAGGGCTGGATCTCATGACCCTGAAATCATGACCTGAGCCGAAATCAAGGGTCAACGCTTAACCAACTGAGCCACCCCCAATATTTATTTTTAAATAAGAAAGTCAAAAGGTGGTGGCACCAACTGAAATAAAAAAAAATACAGGTTGAGCAGCTATTAGAGCATCAAGTGGAGAATGTAGGGTTCAGTCTGGGATTTGTGGAGTTTGCAGCGCCTGTGACACATTCAGGTACAGACGTGAAGTAGGAAGTTGGATACTAAAGGTTGAGTCCAGGTATCTAGACTGTGGTACACATTTAGAAATCATCATTGTAAATAAAACCCATGGAATGGGTATGAGGGTAAAAGGAATTCTGTGAGGAAAGAAATGGGTAAAGGATGGAGTCCTCTTTCCCCAGTTAAACTGCCAGTGGTGAAAACTGACCCCAAAAAGAAGCCAAGAAAGAACTCACCTTTTTTGAGAAGAACTGGGAGTGTGTGGAATCATGAAATCTAAGGCAATAGAGATTTTTGAGAAAAAGTAAACAGCTAACAGTATCAAATACAGAAAGAGGAGCAACACCTCATCCTGTGAGG